ACAGTTAAGTGAGGAGCAGCCAACAGAATTTTAATGGAGGTGAGGTAGTTGACTGAGAAATGTTGAGTGTAATGAGATTTCAGGAGAGGTTCTACTGCATGAAGTACAAAAATGATTACAGAGGATCTCACAGTGATTTTTCTTGGTGATCTTAACCAAAAGGGCAATGGTAGCAATGTCTCTAAGGCAAGGGGGTACCTGCATGCTACAGGGTCCAGTTGCTGGCTATGAGCTCCTATGAGTCAATGATTGTCCCTATGCTTTTGGGTGAGTACCCCAAGGGTATTCCCTCCTTTTCATATATGAAAAGGAAAAAGGAATCTGATAATTGGGGTGCCCTAGGGCAGGTGGGTTCATGTAATTCTCCTTTAAAGCTGGAAGGCTAAGCTGTTTGGTTCCTCCCCAAAAATTGGGTCAGAGTTGTTATTTTTCACTAAAGCATACAGAGGATTGGCCACAAGGGAAAATTTGGAATCCAATTTTGACAATATCCAACTATCCCAAGAAAACCTCACAGTTGGTATTTCATTTTGGGTTGGGGAATCTTAGGACACCACGAAGTCTACTTGAATCTAGGTGTAACCATTATTCAAGACACCCTAAATATCAAACATGAGTTTGGGAAAATTGCAATTTTTCTTTGGAAATCTTATGTCCCTTTGGGGCTAAAAGCTTTAGCAAGTGGATGATGTCTTCTTGTGAAAAGGCTTGAGATGGACAGCGAAGAAGCAAATTATCCACATATTGCAACAAAGAAGAAACTCTAGGAAACTTTACGTCATCCAGATAAGCCTTCGGGATTTGAGAGAAATAACAAGGACTCTCTATATAACCCTGACGTATTCATGTACAGGTGAACTGTTTTTCTTCCCAAGTAAAGGTAAAATGTAATGGCTAGCTTCATCAACTGAAATATTAAAGAATGCTCTGCATAAATCAATTTCAGTAAAAATTTACTTCAGGGGGGAGGGTATAGTTCAGTGGTAGAGTGTCTGCCTAGAATGCATGAGGTCCTGGGTCAATTCCCAATACCACCATTAAAAAAAAAAAAACTTAATTACCTCCCCCCAAAATAAAAATTTTAAAAATATAAAAAGAATTAAAAAAAACAAACAAACAAAAAAGAATTTACTTCAGGTGGGAATACTAAGGTAACAGCTTGGTCCTAGAGAATCCAGGCGAAGGCTTTTCCAGCCACTTTCCAAAGAACAGCCCCTATTCCAAAGGATGGCTGAAGTGGCACAGTTTCAGTGAAGCAGTTCCTGTTCCTGAAGGAATGGGCTGATGCCTTCTCAGTCAGCCTTGGTTGAGACAGTTTGATCTCAAAATCAGATCCAAGTGAGAAACACATACAGATGTTTACATACAGAATAGGCCTTAGTGAGAAGACAAAACCTTAAAACAGATTCTAAATAAAGCCTAAAGAGCTTTAAATGCAAAGGAGGCTTGAGTTCAGATCCAGGATAAAGGCGGACCTTCAAACTTCAGAGTCAGCAAGAACAGCAGCAAGCTCAATAGGCTCAATGGTGGGTATCACACCTGTTTAATCACAAGACCCAGAGCCTTGGGGTTCTTCTCTGGTCCCCATAGGGACCACCAAAATGTTGACCTACAAAAGACACACTGCCAGATAGTTCTCTAGCAACTACTGGTTTATTTGGGATCAGCAGGGAATTGCATTTCAGGGTCAGGCAAGCCATGTGCACGTCCCTGCACAACAGGGGTGCAGAAAACTTTTACAGAGAGAAAAAGGAAGTGGGGAGGGCTATAGTAAACTAAGTGTCCGTGGCTTTTCATTGGCTTGGTCCTTGCCAGGAAAGAAGGGGAGTCTTTCTTCTTGTTGGCCTTTGCTATAGTCACAGGGCACAAGAGCTCCCTGTTCTTCTCTCCTGACTCTACTTAACTGAGGTTTCTGTTTGGTTCCTTTGTCTGTCTGTCTGTCTGTCTGTCTTTCTTTCTTTCTTTCTCTCTCTCTTTTTTAACATGAAGATAATTAAATTATACAGGCATAATGTGAGTTTGTGTTTCTAAATTCAAAAATCAGTTGCCCATACAGACACCGTATCTGTAGCTTTAAAGAGCTGGTTTGATGATATTCCTATACATGTCTACTCAGATTGTATTGTAAATTGCCATGGAATGTGTTCCTGGGTGAGGCTCCCCTAAATTAGCCCTACATCAGCCAGGAACATTCCTAAGAGAGTAAAAGACTTTCATTATAGGGGCTCTAGAAAGAAACAATTTTATTACAAAGATCTTTGTTTTCACTGATGATTCCTGGACAATGTGCCAGAGAAGCTAGTTCAAAATATAATAACACTTGAGTCAAGTCCATCCATAAGGAGAAATATGAGAATGAGAAACTTCACCCTAAAACATATTATTGCTGCCATCCTGTTCATATCTAATGCTGCCCAGAAACAGAAATATTTCCCACCATCCAAATACTGTCCTCACACTAATTAGTTGGAAGGAAAGTTTATTATCTTGGTCTGTATTAAAATCCATAAACACTGTGGAAGCCATCAAGTTCTTTGACTACAAAAATTTTGAAGGGAACAGGAAGGATCAGCATTTAAAACTGTGAACAATTCACCTTACACTGTTTGCTGGCAAAACTTCAAGCCATTACTTTAGTGGCTTGAAAGAGGCTCTCTCCTACCATCT